AAGTACTGGCGAATTTATCAAACTGTTGGAAAAAACTTGTGAATTGTGAATACAACTTCTTTAAAATAGGGTGTTCTCGAGCACCCCGGTTGTAGCCCAACCAATTCCTGTGTTATATTTTATTCAAATTTTATAACTATATTCTTTTACAACTAAACCTTCGTGACAAGGAGTCCGCATGTGGGGGTTTCACTGTATAACATTTTCTTGCGTTTTAACGCAAATCTTTCTGCACAAAATCATTTCTTCTTACAATAACTTGCATCATAATCCATCTCTGTTGAATTCTCGGCGGCTGACTAATTTTTTGATCCACACATGTCTCCACCTCGGGATAAAAACTGCTGGTGGCAACAAAATCTCTATCAGTGAAAATTATGTCGCCAATGATGCACTTCGTAACTTAATCAGAATTTAGGAATATAGTAAAGGATTTTCTATGAATCATTTTGCGAGCCACCTTTCCGGGGCCACACGTGCAGCGATGACGATGACGAGGGGCACTCCTGTTATTAGATTCGACATAACTCTCGTGCCACAGTTGCCCTCCTCAAAGGCATGAACAGAATCTGAAAGCTCATTGCGTCCTTCTGACAGATTACCCGACGTGGGCACGCAAACATCTCGCGAGTTTTTCTCATTTCCTCCTGTGTTATGAAAGCATGCGGGGTATGTTTCTCCCGTTTGGTTGAGGGGAAATATGTGCTATGTTGACGACACGAGATGTCAGGATCAGGGAGTGTTGTTTGTTACTGCCGTGGGAGGTGGACTCATCAATATAAAATGCAACAACTTCAAGAGATTTTCTCAGGACATCTGGGAAGATGGCTTGTGAGTTTCGTGACATTCTGCTGGCACAATAAGTGAAATGACTCAAACCGTACCTAAAATGGTCATGAAAAGAGAAAAAAATGTTGGGCATTCAGATGAATTTTAGTTCGGAATTTCTTAAAAGTCGGAAAACGTTCCATTCTAAAAAGAGTATTTTCGGGTAATTGTGGACTCGAGCTGTTGGTCCAAGACATAATTTCCCCCCTTTTGGCATTACGAAAACATAATTAATCCGATTATTTAGGGAGGACTGTTCCTTTTCAGTATTAGACTAATATTTGTCAGGTTCGAAAATCACATAACTTCGATGAACAATGGGGTTCTTGAGAAAAAGTAAGATGAACTCCACGTGCGGAAAAAAATATAATTGTGGCATTTTTGATACGCTCGAAATATCCGTAGCGTTTGAATTGGCACATATTTCACCATGAAATTCAATACTGTATCACGGTAGCATTTTATAAACGATGCCTATACAGTACTATAAGTATGTTTTTCTCGTAGTTAAATTATTAAAAAATATACAGTACGTGGTGAATGGTTTACTACATACTGTATTTTAAAAATCATTTTTTCATGATTTGCCATCATGAACTCGGATAATTTGCTGATCATCCATGCAATCTAGAATCTTGGCGATGTTCACCGAATTTTTTTTACAATCATCCGGTAATCCCCGTCAAAAATATTTATATGATGCGACAGTATAATTTTTATTTCCACGTTCGCTCTTCTTCAAAACGAATAATAAGAACCAATTATGGAAAATCGATTGCTTCAGGTTAGAAGCATTTTGATGTTGAACATGGTCGAAATGAGCAGCTGCTCCAATACCGATAAACATTGCGGAGATCCATCACCTCAGCAGTAACGTGAAACGGTACACAAATAACTGAATAAAATATTTCCAAGTGCTCCGGATGAGAGTGAAGTTATTTGAACAACTGCTCTCCCTTGTTTTATTTTAGAAGCTACTTTTCCAGTAGAATCCAGCAAAACGCCTTTCGTGTATACCGTACATATTTGGGACGGGAAGCCTTTTCTTCTCGGTCCGTGTCCCAAGCTTTTGATGCGAAAAGCGAAAATGGAAACAACAGAGCAATGGTTTCTGCGAAGGCAGGAACCAGGAAGAGAAGCAAAAGTTACACAACTCAGAAAGGAAAGAATGGAGGATAAGTGATTCGGTTCGGCACATTCAGCGCCGAAACTCCTTTGGGATTAGAAAACGGCTTCCTTTTTTCTAGTCGAATTCATATGGGAACACTATGGTAGAATCTCTTGTGGGCTAGAAACTGAGGCAGAAGGATGGATTCGGTCTAATGTGTTTCCTGGCTGATTTTAGAAGCATATACTGTACTACCGACTTTAGGATTGCCACTTATTTTCGTGAGCAGTCGGGAATCTCACGAATCAAGTATTTTATGGCTTCGGGTTGGCAAGACCCGTGATACACATACAAGTATTCATCAACTACTACAGTGTAGGAATAGATGACATCAATTGCTAATGCCACTTTTTAGTTACGGACTCAAAGTATTTACGAACAATATAGAAAATCTGCTGGTTCATCGATTTTTCATGAACGTTATAGCTGCTGTCAAGATGATGTGCTGAATTTTTTCATATTTAGGGGGGTTCGAAAAAATTTAACCAATTTATGACTTGCATTAGTTCAGTGGCAAGATGAGTGCATCAGCAAAAATGAGAAAATCCAAATGCAAGCTTGTTGAATTGTACTCTACTATAAAATGAAACGTGATTTCATGTTCTCAAATTCCAACCAATTGTTCCCACTGCACGGCCACAAAAGCCATTTGAATGAAAACTTGAAAACATTTTTTCAGGCAACTCCTTACTAAGCTGATGTTTTCCAGAGCTGTTTTTAAGGAACGAATGCGGTGCATCACCAGTAATTTGCCCCCTAAACTTTGTGCCGCTCTTAAAGAGGTTGTAAACATTCCCAAAATGCAACAAGAGAAGGCAAGAAGTAAGAAAAAATTGTGCAGTGAAATGTTGCTCCACTCCTAATGCATGCATGTTTGCTGGAAGTCAGCTTCAGTGCTCCCGTGCTGACCTGGTGCTTGGATGCAATCTGTTTCTAAATAACTGGATATTGTTCCAAATCTGTTTCACTCACTAATCATAGTATGCAGGTGCTTGACATGTGTGCAACTCAGTGCATTTTTATCTGCAGCAGTGAAATTTCCATTCTTATTTTGAAGATTTTGCATTTTTATGACTTCTCTTTGCAAAGATCTGGAAATGGGAGCTTAGTAAAAATTGACTAATCATGACAAAAGTGATGATGACCATCCCTTTTGATTACTGAGTAAAACCACATTGGAAAAATCATGCCATCCAGCAAAAAAGGCAAATACACTGGAAAACAAAGATAATATAAATTCAGGCAGTTTCCTACAAATTGACCCTAACCCATTTGTTGAGGATTCTAATTAAGAGAAAAGATCTCAACACAAATTTAGAAGAAGAAAAGATTAAAGTTGGACAAATTTGAGAAAGAAATAAAAACACGGAATCCACCTGGGACAAGGCAGGGAATCTCCGGTAAGATTCCAAAAGAAAAGTTTAAGATATATTTTGGTAAAAATAGACAAGTCCCAAAATTATTCACAAGATAATTTCAAAGAAGTATAGAAATTTCCTCTCAGCAAAACTCTGTGCATGGGAAGATGCGCCAAGCAACAACATTTGAGAACTGGTAGTGATATAGTGTTGAAATTGGGCTTTTACTGATTATTTGATTTGTTCTAGATTTGTCCTTGATCCAGGATTTGGATCAAGGACAGGGGTTGGCGCCAAGGCATCTGATTGGCTCAACAAAGTTGAGTCGAAGATGGCACCAGTTTTCAAGTTTTTCAGAGGGGGTAAAAAGTTTGTTAGCGCGGATTTCTCTGGTGGTTTCTTCTTCTTGGGTGGTTTTTCCACTCTATTAATTTCTTCTCGCCACATTCGGAATCAATTAATTAATTAATTTATTAATATTATATTTAGGTCCCCAACACCATTGCTGGACTAGGGTTCAATTGTGAAGCAGTCAAATTGTGAGACAATGTCAAATAGCGAGAGAATATCAAGTGATATGTTGTCTGCGTCAAATTTTTTACCTTTCTATGGTCCAATTGTGGGTCAGGGGTGGAATTGCAATTGGATCTCCCTGAAAATGCAACCATCATATTGTGGGACAGAAAAATTGCAGGGCAGTTGAATTGTAGGGTACCTCTTGTATGGTAATGATAATTCAAATTCAAGTCAAGGAAGGTAAATGAAGCAAATGCCCTTTGTCAAACCGCGCACAATTTATTCCGTGTAAAATGAGGAAACGTTTGCGTAGGACGAATGGAATTGTCAAAGACAGCTAACCAAATACTGTCTTCCAAGTTCTTGCTTCACCTGAGTTTCTTTCTTCCTAAATTTCAGGCACTGGAACTGGACTGACCACACAAACTGCGTATTTGCTGATCAACAAGCACTTTTCAGCCCGCCGTGGATTAGCAATTGGACTATTATATTCCACAGCGCCGTTGGCAAGAACCATTTTGCCAACTGTGGAAAAAGCCCTGGAAGAGAAATACGGAAATCGTGGTGCGTTGCTGTTTATGTCAGGCATTATGCTGAACATCATTCCGGCTGCTGTTTGGATCCGCAAATTCCAAGATACTTCCATTCCAGCTCAGTTGTATAAGACTGCCATCGACCCAGGTAATATTAAATCTTTATGGACGGAATAGGGATGCTTTAAAAGACTTGTAAATTCTCGTGGTTTCCCAGCGAATATTCGAGAAAAAATGGGTTTTTTATGGTATTTGACGAACGCATGTTTTGCGCATGCACTTGCAATGCGAATTTATATCTCTTCGGGATTCACAACCCCCCCCCCCCCGCCCTGAAAAAAAACGAAATGTATATAAACCAATGAACAAGATTGAGAGTTTCCAGAAGTTCGCTCTGTATTTTCCTTTCAAGGAAGAGCTGATGCACTTCCCGAATTGGTTGGTTTTTCAGCAATGTCCCTTTTCACGATCGGAAAGCAGTAAAAGTTCACATTTTGAAAGGTCTTGGTGGATTAAAAATAGTTTAAAGATTGTAGCCGGACTCGTAGTAAAACGACCGATTCGTTTCATAGCCTGTGTCGGAATTACCATCAAGAAACTCAAACGTGATTTATGAAATATTAAAACTTTATTCCTGGAGTGTCCGAAGCTGAATATTTGTTGTAGCATTTTCTCTCTAACTCGTGGCTCCATGTGAGACCATTGACACTATCGTCGAAATCATTCAGGAAAACACAGAAAATTATTTGAAATTATTTCCTAAAAATACGAAGCGATAATTTACAGATGTAAATTTGAGTTCCACATGGACAGTATGTATACAGAATTCATATAATTTGAAAATCCCTCAATAAAAAGCGAATTCATATCATTTGAAAACTCCCCAATAAAAAGCGAATCTTCTGAGACGTTGATTTATGTTTGATGGCTATCGACGTGGCCAGGATGGTAATACGGTAGTTAACTTTGAGGCATACAATATGCATGATTTTACAAGGAATTGAGGAAATCAATGAGCTTGTCTCTGATCTTTTAAATTCAAAATAATGTTCTAAGAATTTGCGGATAAGTGAAAGCAGCTTAATAATGTACATGACATGAAAAAACCTTCCGCATCTGTTAAATGTTAAAAATCACGTGAAAGCGAAAATTTTTCCACCGACGCCACAAAGAAAATATGCTTGGGAGAAAAATATGATAAATTCTCCAGAAAAAAATGTACTTCCAGTAGTATGTCGAAACTTCCAGTTATAATCGAGCACCTCGATTCCGGTTCGAAGGATTCCTTGTATATGAGGACTGTTTAGAATGTGAACCTCGAATTCATGGAAACAATGCATGCACTCGTTTGATGTTGAGTTCCCATCATCGTATGCAAATTTCTGAGACTTCGCATTACGATGGGATAAGGTTTGTGCGGCAAACCATAGTCTTATGCCGACGTATCCACCCAGCAAACAATGAGGGCGTGGGAGCCAAAGGCATGCTGATCATGGTGTGTTCTCCCTAGTGACACACACCATGATCATCACGCCTCCCACAGTTCCTCACGCTCAACTTTCTGGCCGTGAGGAACCCCCATGCCAAGCCCATGACGTGGACTTTAAGGACTGAGGGGCAAGAGGGAGCCACAGATATTAGCGGTAAAGAATAACATGGTGGCTCCCAGAGATTCAGCCAGCCCTTATTTGTGGTCAGAGTTGTCCGTCGGCGGAGTATCCGGTTTAGAATTCTGTCTTTTTGTGAATCTTGGAAAGTAAATTTGCTGACTATGCTGGCAAAGTGAGTGTTCCATGCAACTTGAGTTATAGAAACAAAGAAAGCAACCAGTACAAGAGTTTATTCATTTGTTGCGTTAATGGATCAAATAATTCGAAATTTTGAACGTTTTCTCTCCCCTTGTAAGAAAAATGAGCATGTTTTTGACGCGTTTGATTGAATTCATATTTTAGGTACTGCTGGAGACAATGGACTGGTATGGCAAATGGCAAATTCAGATGCAGAACCAATGATTCGGTCTTAGTGGATGCCAAGAAAAAGTCAGATGCTGCTCAATAATAAGCAGCCCTTCTCAAAGTGTCTGTCCCATATATGTCTCAGGCCTCAGGTTAGTTTAATCTCCGAACATGTATTGGTTCATGAATCGTGTCAGTGTGCTTACAAATCTCAAGGAATCTTTTACAAAGTAAAATGCAATCAATCTTCTGTAATCATTGCTTGCGGGAATAAAATACCGGTAATGATCCCATCAAAAACCAAAACAATCAGGGATCAGATTGAGACGTGGATCGAAGACAATCTTGTAATGAGATTGTCTGCGATCCACGTCTCAATCTGCGCTTCAGTGATCATTTGTTTCAGTGATCGGGGCGTTGATCGGACAATAGAAAGGGCGTCACTTATTGGAACTGATGAACTCCTTTGAGCTGAGTTACAGCATTATCAACAAAGCGTACGTTTTGATAAGGACTACTCGCTACTCCATGAAGGAAACACAGTGCGTTTTTTTGTAAAATTATGTTTGTGTCAAGCCTTGTGATTAATTTTGTTCTTCTTAGTCAAACAGGTGTTCACGTGAAATGGAATTCAATGGCTGTTACACAACTGGGGGTGCGCCTGCAATGATCAAATGGACATTCAGCTCCAACTGAGTGACTGAATTTCACAAAAGTGCAATTTTCCTGAAGTTGAACCCTGTGGCCAAAGACACCAAGGTAAATGCTCTACCCTTGATACGTTGCAAGCCAAACATCAATCTCCAATTTTTTTTATTTATTACAGCATCTACCTGTGAGCATTCATGAGTCGCTCATCAACATTGTTGAAGGCAAAACAAAAGTGTTAATCCTGGAAATCCCCTATATACATTGGCTCCGGAAGAAGCTGAACAAATCGGCATTGACCGCTTCACGAGGTTCACTTCCAGCATTCAAGGAATTAATGCTCAGGCCGCTGAACACCTTCAGGCTCAGTTTGGTGCGTGTGAAAATGTTGCACAGTCAAATCAAGTTCATTCTGGACTATCCGGAGTACCTGATGAATGCCTTGGATAGCGGAGAGGTCTGTAAATTAGGGCTGCTTCATTGTTTCATTAATTGTGAAACATGATGCGACCCATTGTTTTTCTGGAATGATGAACTGTCGACAAATTCTGCTCAGGAAGTGGCCCAATTTTGTTTTGGAGTATAATTGAATTGTTTGACTGCCAAGGACTTTGCCTTGCAAGTTGTTCAGCTTGGGAAATTTCCCAGAGTCTCATCAATTTTTAAATTGAGAACACATCTATTTATTCATTAATTATATTCAATAATGCAATGGAAATGTAATGTCTATATGGAAAACAGTGTTGGAAAATTCTCAATTGAACATTTGATGGAGGAATTTGCCAAGATTAGTGATTTCATTTGATAAGATAGCTGAGCATTCCCAAGAAATTCATGAGTTTAAGTTGAATCTTTGCCCGTCCACCAATTTAACTTATTTTGTTGCCGTACATTTCATCAAACTGACTTTTTGTTCCCTCAAAGAGCAAGCCCATGCAGGGTACTTTAGAGACCAACATTTGTTCATACTGGTGTTCAAACAGTTATTTTTATTTTATCCTCTTTTTTCTAGTTTTGAACATTAAGAATGTGGTACTGCATATTTTTCCACCTGAATAAACATATCTAGTGTTCCTTAACCAAATCAACAAGCAATCAAATTGAAAAANACCTGCTCGCGCGACTCACCTTTCCACCGCTGATCGACAGAAGTTTGTTGCATCCGAGGAATGGTTACGTCATGGGCAACGTCTTCGGCATGATCGCCGCAGGAAGTTTGTCACCTTTCATCATCCATAAACTAATGCAGTACATTCTTAATCTCATTGAATCATTGACGAACTTCAGCGAATATTGTCTAGTTTTGAAGCTTATAGTTGATGATGGTTGCATCGTGACGATCGATTTGTGAAGCTTGGTGAAATCTGGTCTTGAAAATCCGCGTTGAAAATATCAAATATAAATTGTAACGAACTTCACGGCTCACATTAAAAAAAGCGGAAGTGGTTCTAAAGATTTCAAATTTGGTTCATTCAAAATATTTATTATCACTTGCATATAGTTAAAAGGAGAACCACAAAGAAGAGGTCGTAGAAGATTATAACTCGAATGATGAGGAAGTTTTTCAAATTTTCGGGACAGCTGAGAGAAAATAATTCAATTCCAATTGAAAAAGGTATCAATTCGTTATTTTTAAAATCGAGCTCAGCTGGAAATGACGATGCCAAACAGCGTTGTGAAATATTTTGATTTTTTACGTATTCCATCTCTGTTCATGGATTTTCTCGCAGATTGTTGAATTAAATAAATGTGGCACGAAGACAAAATCGTTTTGAGATTAAAAAAAAATCTTTCATGAATCATTCGACAGCTTGCTGCATATAGCTGCTGGAATGTTTTTATCATTTCGAAAGCCAAATACAGAAACAAAACACAGAAGTCGTCGATTTGGAATTGAAGTAATTGGTGGAATACATGAGCATCTAGCGTTGTTCCATTCTTCAATGTTCAATCTTCATCAATGACCGCCGCTGCTCCATGAATCATATTTTAACGGACTGCGTCAATTATCTGCAAAATCAGCGTAAAATTCGTTTCTGGTGTCTTGAACTACGACAAGGATTTGTGAGTAATGCTCGAAATTCCGCCGGCAGAACATGCTTCATGCGACTTGACACATGACAGAAGAAGCTTTCTACCAATTGTGATTATTTTCAGTTCCACTTGGAATTTCCCAACTTGAAATTGATGACGAAATACAGTTCATAGTGACCTTATTAACTATCCTGTTTTGATGCATGTTGAGCGCAAACCAGTTGCTAAATTGTAATGAAAAACCATTTTCGTCTCGGCTTATTAATGTCTCATTTGATCATTGTTCCCGTCTAAACCATGGGCCTAAAAATTATTCTCGGAATTGAAATTGAGAAAACGCATAATTGAGCTGAAAAACAATTATTGCTCATATAAAAAACTTCCGTTGACAGAAGATAAAAATAGAAACCAGTTTAGCATGTTTCTTTTTTTAAATTGTTTGCAAAGGTCATCCTACTGTCAGCTTTTTGCTCTTCTCTTAGAAGAGGAGGAGCCCATCTCACAGATTTTATTGTGTAACCAAGCTTTCCCTACGGCGTTCTTGAAATTGACATGGCTTTAATCCCAAGGGTTTCCTCCTTTATTTCATTATTATTTACTTTATCTTCATGAACAGCCGACACATTCTCGTCACAACTGAGTGGCGGTCGTGAAAGCGGCTGTTAATGCTAATGGCGGAATTACTTTTGAAGAAATGGAAACAAACCTTGGATTTATTGCCCTCTTGATTTCGAGATTTCTAAAGGAAAACCTGGGATGCACATAAAATCTACGAAATGGGTGCCTCGTCTTTCGAGTGAATGATAGAAAGTTTTCAGGCTGAAAAAAAAGATAAAAATGTGTCAAACAGACCTGATTTTCCCTTGTTTCAAGGAATATTTATTTTCGGAAAACAATTGTTTTGCAGCTTGATCATCTGCCATCTGAATTTTTATCACTTCCATTAGACCCCTTCATGTATAAAAAAAAGAGAGAAACAGGGAGAGAGCGAGAGAGATAGCGTGAAGAAAAGACTGGAAGCCCTTTATCGAGAAAGATGGAATCCGGAAATTGGTTCTCTGGGTTGCGTAAATACCAGCAATACTCAGCCGTTTCTAGTGGCAGGCTCAAGGAAAAGCATTCATTGCAGTGTTTTCATGGATTTAGTCATGCCGTTCGTGCGGAAATCTTTCTGGGGGCTGGGAATTTCCACGTTCCTCTACGGCGTGGGCTCTGGAACATCCGTGTGCTTCGGAGGACTCGTATTGCTGCACTACTTCGGACTGGATAATCTGCCCATTTCGACAGGGATCGGATGGACCATAAAGGGACTTGTTTTGCTCGTCCTGGGCCCATTGATAGGTGGGATATCGAACGAGTATTTCATCGTGACGCCTTGCTTACTATGGGCTTATTGCTGGTGTTTTTTGTTCTTTTCTCCGGATGCGATATTCGATGAATCCCGCAGGAGGACTCAAGGACCTGACAGGCGATTTTTCCGCTACATACTTTCTTCTTTCCGGAGGTATGGCACTCGGTACGGTAATCTGGGCTCTGGAGCCAGTAATCGAGGCTTGGCGAACCAAGATGAGACCTTCGTTTTCCGTGTCGGTCGTCGATGTCGAGCTGAGTGTGGGGAATTGATTACCTGACGGACTGGTTTACATGTACGGCTTCAGCAGCAGGTGTTCCTTTTTGTTTTACTTGGGTTTGTCTCACATATCTTCCGAGAATCCTTCGATATTCCGATGTAGGAAATGAATATACGTGTCGTTTTCATTTTCTCTTGGAAATGATTGCGCGGTGATTCACTATACGCAATCTATATCAAGGACGTAAATCGCAAAAACGCTCACTCGTCTCCGGATCGCTGAGTGCAACACCTCATCAATAGCTTGTGTAATGGCTCGAACGTTTCTCTTCTTGATGAGTGATGAGAATGGAATTGTTCAAGCGTACCTAATGAATGAAAATGTCTTTGCAGCGAGCTCTTGAACGCATTTTTGATCATTTTAATTGAATTTTCAAGGACGTTGTTTGATCTGCAGGAAATTTAAGTACCTCTCAGTTGAATCAAGCGGGGTGTATATACATATGTCCTATGGAGACTTCTACACGTAGGTGTAACGAATTTTTCTGCCTCCGTTTTCCTGTCAAGGTGATTCTCCTCCAAAAATAATCCCGTATTTTTCCAGATAATTCCAGCATGCAATCCGAATGCCTGTTAAAAAAGGAAGTTCTCAAAGGCCTTTTCAGGGGTAATTGGGCGTTAAATTAATCCGGGGGTTTGCTGTCTTACAAGAAAATTTCTTGAACGCTTTCGAAAATGTGTAACGCATGATTTTGTCTTGAAAATGCTTCGGAATTTTCAAATGAGGTGAAGAGGGGATTCACTTATGGAGCGCACATTTTTAGATGCTTGAAATGTTTTATTTTTTTATTCTGATTAAGTCATATTAAAATGCTTGAATAAATGACACAAATCGAAATACACAATCAAAACCACAAAATTCGTTCATTTTCCTGATCAACACTTGGAGCAAAAATGCAACTTTCTCAAATTTATAATTGCTTTTTATATCGCCAGTTTTTCATTCGTTATTGTCATGCGATTACGTTTCATCCGAATAACGACGATCGGAACACTGATACAATAGTTGTTCGCACTTGTACACCGAAAATGTACTGAACAAATGGGTCCAATCACGTTTCGGCTCCCGAATCACGACCTCAGAGGGTGTGAACAATATTTTTCCAGAAAAAAAATGCTGACATAAAAAATAACCAGACATCAAAATCCCAACCGCGATTCGTACAGTTTTTTTTGTCATACAATTTTGTAAAAAAAAAATTCAGTAACGTCAAAAGAAATTACATCGAAGAAGTAAAGTTTTTTAAACAACCGCAAATAGTCGATCAACAAGAGTAAGTTAAAACTGTTCACGAGCAACAATTCATATTTGAAATTGAAGTGTACAATGGGACCCCGAGATGAAGACATTTCAACTGAGGGACACTCAAAAGTGAAAAAAAACTGCGCCTATTACATCTGGACGAAATGCCTTGAGCTGTATGGAAACTTTTCCACATTCCTTGAAAATTTAAAAAGATTTTTCTTTAAAATTTGTATAAATCTGTTCACGTTATTTATATTTACAAAAATCAAACGTAAATCTCATTACAAAATTATAATTGGTGATGAAGATTAGGCAGATTGAATGATTCCTTCTTTTAGGATGATTTTTCCCCATCATACTGAGTGCAGAGTGTAACTAAACTCTTTCTGCCTCCTTCATTCTTCTGAGCGCCAAAAGATTTGATTCTGTGTGGTTTTCTTTTGCGCAGTCATTTGCTGCATCTTATTGAAGATTGAAACAACATTCTTATTACATTTTAGGAGAATTAAGTCCTTAATTTATGAAGAACTGGAAAAAGAAATTGATTTGTTGCCATCAAAGTCAGTGGACAACGTGAGTCAGCATACGCATACTCCAACATAGGAACAAGGGAGAAGCAAAAATTATGTCCGCATCTCGGGGGGCCCAACTGAGTGTCAGAATTTAGGCAACGAGCGTTCATGAAACCCTGGAGAAATTCCCCGGGAAGCGATGCATCGTCTGTCTCATCAATTGCCTGCAACCATCAGCAAACAGTGTCTTAGTCACTCATCATGGTGAAGATGTGGCCCCGAAAGAAAAAACTCCATGGTATTCAAGTCTGCCATTCGCATTGATTTGGTCGAATCTGAATGACTGACTGGCCCACGCAAGTTTGTTCTTCTCCCCTCCATCCCTCATTTTGTCGCGATGACGAAGATCAGCATTGTTGCACTGAGTGAGTACTGCACTGTATTCTTTTTTTTTTTCTGTACTGCTGTACGCTGAATTACCGCCAGCAGCAGCAGGCGTTCACGACTGATACCAACAGCACACACAGCAGCCACTCGGCACCAGAATGCGCGAACCTCGGCGTCCCTATTGACGCAGTTTTTATGGTCGACGGGAAGCAGAGTTTGAGCGAGGAGTTGGAGCAACTGGATTCTGCGGCAGGACTATTCGTGCTGGAGAATTGCGAAGCAAAAAGAATGCCCATGCGAAGCATGTTCCGTTTGTGGCGCTTCACCACGCAATCATCGGACCTCCATACTGCTGCGAAGATGCACTTGAGGAACCGCATCCGTGGACTGCAAACATATACAGAGTGTCAGCCAGAGTCGCTTCATGCTGTCGTCATCAGCCAGATAATCTTGTTTGCCCCACCCCCCGAGAACCAATCGCATCCCGGCAGAATGCATGGTGGATCATGAACTCGTGATTGCGGAAGAAAATGTCATACAGCATGGGGCGGTATTCTTTCTCTTTTATTTGTTTTGCCTCATGTTGGTTTTCTGAATAACATGGCATCGAACAATCTTCCGAAATACGAGTCAATCTCGGTGAAAGGAACGAGATTCCGAAAATCTCTACAGGATGGAAACCTTACAGTGCTTACACAAGAAATAAACCGTAACGCGACGAGATGATAAAAGCGGACGAGAGTTTCCCATAAATAGAAGATCAGGCGTCAGCATACAGTTATTAAGGTCATCTATGTGGGTTGTAAAGTAATGTGTATACACTGTACAATATCAACATTTGTTGTGTGGCATTTTGAAGCACTTTTGAGATTTTCAAAACGCCTAATTATTTGCTGGGATTAGTGGATAGGGTATACGTACAGCAATTTTTGAGTCACGGCATATGACTGATACAAATTCTGGGAAGCCTTCCTACATTTTTTTTTCAGTTTATCACAATATTCTTCCCTGAACAGTATTAATAATACCTCATCAAACATGTTTTGGTTGGGAGTTTTGAAAGTATATACGCATTTAGGCAAACTATTAGGAAAATAAGCGTCTATATCCGTTACATTCTATCATCAGGAGAACATCGAAAAAGCTTCACGCGGTGATTTTGGACTGCGCAACGAATAAAATTCTCTTTTAAAATATATCCAGCTCTAAAATATTGTACATGAGTAACATGACACGCTCAAGTAATGACAGTTCGAAGTACCGTACGTTTCTTCTATATCAAAGTTTTCATGTCAGAACGTTGATAAACAATGGAATCAACAACAAAATCACAGCCATCAGCCCACAAAGAGAAGATGCATTGACAAAATGCAACTCGATTTGCTTTCGAACGGATCAAATTGAAACTTCTCTAAATATATGCGCATTTGGAACTTCGCTCTCGAATCCACGTGTATATATGGATATTCAGTGCGTCAACATCCAATGTGAAAAGCACGAATACTAAGAACAAAACTTTCGTTAGTTTATTCAAATCTAAAATGATTTTCAAAGGCTTTTGAATCTTTAAAAAAATACCTGAGCGGTTCAAGAATTACTTTCCAGCGGAAGTCTCATTAAGCCACTTCCTCCATGTTTTCTTGGAAAGTTTCCCCACGAAAACCAATAAAAAAAACCTCATATGATTGATGCAAGGCTTTCTTCTCTTTTCAAAAGTTTCCTGAAGGAAGGTATTGAAAGCGGCGAAAAAGTTTGCACCCATCCCTCCGGCTTTCGTGCTTTCTGAAGAAGTTGTATGCGACGACACGCTTGAAGGTTATTCGTCCTTGTTAAAAAAGTTGCCTGTGTTTTTCGCAGATGGTCATTGATACATGCAATTCAGGTACATCACTTCAAATGCGGAAAACCTGCAGGGTGAGGTTGAAATTCCGCTGATTTTTTTTAAATCACGATATTTTTGTGCACGTATCACTTCTGGAATGAAGAACTTGAAGGCTTTCGAGAAATGCATTTCATGGTTAAGGTAAAAAAGAGAGAATTAATGCCAGACAACGAGTCTTCTGGGATGAAGTACATTAAATAAGGGTTTTTCAATTTCCCTGACGCATTCGGTGATGAAAGAATTCCCTCACCAAGCCTCTGCCCCGTGAGACACCCTCACCCATCGTTCCACGGTTGGAAATTTTCTGTTCTGAATTCCAAGCTTGTGCAAATTCCGTCGCCACGTGAATGGAAAAGAAGGAAAATCTCCATATTTTAGTTTTAAGAATTCGGAATGACTGCGTGGAATTCATTGACAGACGGAATATTCAATCGCATGTAAACCAAGAGAGTAGATGCAGCTCAAGTTTGGCGTGCAAATCATGTGGATGAATAAACTTAGATGGAGAACCTCACAGACAGAAGGCCTGTTTTACACAAGAAATACTTATTTTCTTTCATTGCATTCGAGTTTTCTTGCACGAAGTAATGCGTTTAATATCAACAACTTTCTTAGACTTTTCAAACCTCTGTATAGCAGAGACAATTCAGGAGCAGCTGTGCATAAAACATGAAGCTTTGATGACTACACGGATACGAAGGTCTTCAAATGGATTCCACAATCTTGGATTCACGCAATTTTTCTGCGCTTCAACATTCACTTGAATGAGTGTGTGAGGCAAGGGTGTTACTATAGGAATTGAAAAGCGTCCATTTTGGTTGATGCTCAACTGACCTGAGGGACTTAAAATCCCAAGAATAGGTGCCAACTGTAATTTCTCAATCACAAAGAATTTTGCTAAGCAAAGTATCACTTTTTTGAGAGTGAAAAAATGATTTTGAAACAAATTCAATGCTTGAGCATCCATCCATATGGCAGGTCTCCTTCTTCAGGAATGGGTTGGTT